TGGTAGGTATAGGTAGTATAGGGGCCGAAATAATTAGCTTTTTTGGTTTGGGGGTTCCTTATTTTTCGTTATTATAGTATAATATACCCCAAACCCTATTCTAATTATTTAGGCCCTTACATTAACCTTTGACTCTTTTGGGGGTACTACAATCTCGATGTAATCCCATAGGTTAGCCTTAGCTCCCCTAGGATACTGGATAAGGAAGACAAGATAATTGTGTTCAGGGTTTAAGGTTTGGGGTTGGGGCGTATGGGGTAGAGTTTAGGGTTTAAGCTTTATGGCTCTATGGTTTAGGGTTCAGTGGAGAGGCCCTTGTTGAGGTCGAGAGTCGATAGCATATGAGAATGTATTGGCTTACTATAGAGATTGCCATACTGGCGACCGTAAACGGGCAAGTGAAAGGGTTTATGTGGGTTTACAGGTGTTGTTATCTGTTGTAGGGCTTTTGTAGGGGTTTACAGCCTTTTTCATGGCTTCCAACAATGTTGTTTTTGTAGCAGTTAAACGTTCTTCAGGGTTTACAATCTACGCTATGGAGCTCGCTCTGCTCAATTCTGCAACGAAAAACGGTACAAGTCTTACTACAAGCATTGCAACAGTGGCTAGTTACTAATGTCGGTCGTTGGGGCTTCAGGGTTTAAGGCTTGGGGGTTGTTCTTCAAGGGTGCAGGCACCAACCCTGTCTTAGGGTTTGTAGGGTTCTATGGGGAGAAAGGGCTCTGTAGGCTGTATGCAGGTTGCTGCGAAGATTTATTCTAATGCTTGGGCTTCTTTTGAGGGTTTCCATGTGTATACAGTTTCGATGTGTATACAGGTTTTGGATCCGCGCCTTAGCTTTTGGGGCTTCGAAGATGGTTATAGTATTTTAGATCTTTGCATACTGGTGTAGTGTTTCAGGGTTTGGCGCTTGCAGTACCTTGCAGCAGCTGACAGGGACGTTCTGATGTGTCGGATGGCTTCAGGTGTGGAATGCTGGAGCTTAGGCCCCTTTTCCGATACCAGAAAGCCCAATTCCCGAATATAGAAGCCTAATATTCCCAGTATCATATCCCCTGAAACCCTAAACCCTAAAGCCTCTATATTATGCAACGAGGACGGCCAGAGCCTCACCTTGGTGGAGCTTCCCCGCGTGCAGCTGCGCTTTGCCCCGGGTCCTGACCCTGGCGGACGCGGCCTGAGGCTTTTCTCCAAGGAGTTCGGAGGCTTGGGCAAGACATGCAAGAAGGAAGGTAACTTATGTGTCAAATTCCCTAAACCCTAGACCCTAAATCCTGCACTAAAGCCTAAACCGTGGAGAGGTTGGTTGCTTTGTGACATGGAAACATAGACTTGTCGGGAGGTTATGGGATGAAGCTTGGGGCCTTGGACTTGGGCTTGGGCGGCTGGGCAGTAACAGCCACAGCCACATCTGCAGTGGCAGCCGTAGCCGCAGTCACAACAGTAGCGGTACCAGCGGTAGCGCTCGCAGCCGTACGTAGTCGTGATCGTGGTCGTCATGCCCCTGCCGTACTCGTAGTCGCAGAGGACTCCTCCTCCGACTTCTCCGCCGCCTACTTCTACTGCTCCTGCTCCTGCTCCTACTCCTACTCCTACTCCTACTCCTACTCCTACTCCTACTCCTACTCCCACTCCCACTCCTACTCC